TCAAATGGCACCCGTTTTGTAGAATGAAATCTCCTATGAACAATACGCTGTGTATTGTACGATGTTCATTAGATATGTGAACTGGTTGGCCTTGTAACACAGTGTGACTTACATGGACCACTTTCTTGTTTTTGAAACTTTGGACACTGCCTTGATTATTATTTGAGTCTCTTCTTTTAACCATTAGCTAATCTGTTCTGCTTAAATGGGATGTATTTCCTCTTTTATTTTGATTACTAAAGTTATTGAACCATGCCTATGAAGGTAATTCAAATTCTGTTTTAAACCGTAGCTATGACGTTGCCTTTTTTAATATAGGGCTACTGGGGAAACAAGTGAGGCAGATTATAGTGGTGGGTAGGGATAAAGAGGGGCTTAAAGTATGGAGTGTTATTATGTGTGTGTTTGACAAAGTGTGCAGTGATGTTTTATGCATTTTTTTGGTTTGTGAGATTAAGGTGTGTGAAAGATCATCTATGAAACACAAGTGAGCTTACTGTATGCACTAGGTTACTATAAGCCCCCTTTATTTTTTCCTACCCTTTTGTGTTAGTTTGTTATCGTAAATAAATTTAAAGGGGTTTCCATTTGTGTTATTTTATTGACTGAGATCCCAATTATATAGAGTTGAGCCTTGCTAGATTGTCAGGGATTTTATTGTGGTCAGTAGTATTCCCAGACCTACCTGGGAAACCAAAGTGGCAGTCACAGTACCATACCAGTACTGGCTATTACAGTAACAACTGGGTCCATCTCATTAAAGTTATCTTTGCTTTCGTATCTGCAGTGCAGAAATGGAGCTGAAAGAGCAGCAGCCGTGAGAGCAGCAGAATGTTGTTGCTTGTGATGTCTTTTTTTTTTCGAAAAACATTTTGCTCTTTAAGCTGTTGTTTACAGCAGAGGTAAAAGCAGACTGTCTGATAAAATGCTAATTTTGCTCTTTTTAGTGTTCCAGCCTTTACCATAAACAATGTGATTACTGTTTCAGATCAGATTCCAGAATTTAACAGTAGAAAATAATAATAATAAAATAATTCTATTGGAAGCTTTGTTATAGACTTGTTATAGATTTATAAATGTTAATTTAAATTACAATGTTAATTACAAATGAAGATGAAAGCTTTTAGTTTTTTTCTCCACTGCTTTTAGCCTAGCTTAATACATGGATAATAAAACTGCTGATATTGCTTGCTGTGAGATTTCATTTACCACTGTGATTGTTTTACGCTGATCAAGAAACAGTTTAAACCATTAATAGGTAACAAGACGAAACTGGGTACAGATTTCAAATGTTTCCAGGAACTTGTTTCTAAAATTATCCTAGCTGAGGGGTAAATTGAGCCACTGACCTTTTCTATGGGAAGTAAATTAGAAAACATAAATAGAAATAATTTTAATTAAATAAATAAAATAGAATAAATTTTATTCTATACCAAATATAGTTTTATAATCCATTCTCTTACTCTAAAGTTATTTATTTTCTCATATGCAGTTTATATAATACAAAAGCAATCAGATAAATATATAATAATAATAATAATAATAATGTTTATTTTAATGCTTGTGAGTGGTGACAGTTTTCCACATTTAATTTGAAAAATAAAAATTAAATAAATGTGAAGAATTTTTTTGTTTTGAAAGTTATTTGAATTTTTTCCCATGTTCCAGTGAGTCATCATACCCCACTTGCAACTACCCTTAAACATGTAATTTAAACAATGGGTTTTCTCTACCCACCTGACTCAGACCATGAGGAGCTTCTTAATTACTTAATGAGTGGAATTAGGTGTGCTAGATGAGACAAAACACAGAAATGTTTGCAGTGTTGAGTCACTAGGACTGTGATAGAGAGCTGACGCTGATAATTGACGCTGATTAATAAAACGTTAAATATTTTTACATATTATTTTTATGCCAAGTACTCTAAAAATGTAGTTTCTCTAACCTTTTAGCCTGAAAAGTCTTGATCTGTGAATAAAAATTAAAATTGAAAATACCTCAATGTCCTTTGTTCTGAGATTCCAGTTAAAAATGCTACACTACTGAGCTGCACTATGATAATGTAAACTAGGCAGGTTAGAAATGACAGCAAAAATTAGCTACCATGTTATTGTTAGGCCTTGGGGATCCCTAACTATGAGGTAACCTATGTAATGATGCACACTATTTTCACTAGGGATGCATCGATACTGATACTGGTAATGTAAACTAGGCAGGTTAGAAATAACAGCAATACATTACCTACCATGTGAATGTTAAGCCCCGGGGATCCCCTGTAAAGGCCACGCTAATGAACAAACCCCACTGCTGGTATTGAAGGAGGCTCTGCTCACACAGAGAAGTGTTGCTGACCCATGGAGGTCAGACACAAAGTTGCTGGTCACGTCAAACATTCTGGCCTTCGCATAGTCCCCCCAGGAATACACTGTGCAATTTTAGACTGTTTTTAAACACACACAAACAAACACAATCACAACCACTTCCCCAATACAGGTGAACACACATAGGCTATCAAAATAGAAAACAAAAATTATTCCTTCCGAAGTTTATATATGCTAACTTTATTCTGTTTGACCGAGTAGAATTGCAAGGTATAAATGTTAATTTGTAAATCTGTCTTGCAAAATAGGTTGTAGAAGGACCACATTGTCCTACTGTGTATGTGCACAGTGTGGTTAGCTGAGCTACTGTTGCCCAGTTTCTCAGATTGTTTGCTCAGTACTTGGTGTGCAGATTGTTGTTTTGAATAAAAAAGCTTTATTTGAAATTGTTCATGGACAGAGTTGTCTATACAGGCTGTGTTTCACATAGCAAGGACAGAATGTTTTCGTACAGTGTGAATATATAAATTGTAGGCTTTGTCCATACACAACAGACTGTTTAAACTTACAGTGACTCAGCAAAAAACAAATTTCAAAAAAATTGCAAGTGTATGCCTGGCTTTAGAGCTCAACCACCCAAACAAAATACTTCAGACATAAAACTCCATAAGTGAGCTTCTCGGATTAGCATCGGATGCATTTGCCTTGGATGAGATTCCCGCTAAGACTGATGTTGTAACAGACAAATAAGGAGCATCAAAACTATGAAATGTACTTTACTTACAGCTGTACAGAAATGCTATTCTGATGTGGAACAAAACCTGCTCTTTACGGCAACACTACTAATTCAAAATAACTAATGTAACATAGCAAATTACTGTTAAGGTACATTGAACTCATTTACACTACCAACTACTAGGTAGTAGGTAAATCATTATGGTACCAGACTAGGTATCAGCGAGTACTAAAAATATGTACGTGAGTACTTATACTCTGTCTGAAAAAATTATATTGATGCATCCCTAATTTTCACAATATACTATTGTGAGGTCCACCTCCCCTTTTTTTTTTAGTATAACTAGGCAGGAGTCTTTAAACTTCGTCTGTATCAGTATAAATAATTTTTACACTTAAGGCAGTTACACACTCTGCAGTACTGTACCAGCCACTGCGCACCACTGATTTTGCTAACACTGCTTTAAATTCAACCCAGAATAAGACCACAAAAAGCCAGGATTTTTTGTGTCAGGATTATGATCAGCTGTAACACACCTAAAATGTTCAAAATTGGTTTATTTTGCTGCTGTGCTGCTAGTAAAGTTCCCACTGTGAGTGAAGACAGCTGTTTAGGTTTTGTCATATTTGCTCTTCCTAGTGCAGGAGTCGGCAACCCAAATGTTAAGAAGAGCCCTTTTGTCTTTTCAATAAAAATCAAACCACCGTGGGTGCCACAGCATTTTATGTCCATCTTGGCTGTAAATATGTGCTAATGTACTGGTATAGGCTAAAAATATAATATAAACGAAAACACAGACTTACTTTGCTCTGCTTCAAGCATAAGCTCAGCTGTAGTCGCTTTTCTTGCATATCCAGCAGGAAACTTTTCTGCAAAAGTTGAATAGTTTCTTGTAAAATTTCTCTCAACGTTCACTTTTTACTAAAGGCTGAAGTCAGCTACTTAGTTGCCAGCTTCTTGTTTGAATTCTCCCGTTCCAGCTTAAACTGCTGCACTATTTGGCTCCAAATTACTGATGTCTGTCTTAAATCTTTCTCTTTGCCTTTTTGGTAACTACTAGCTAGGCGAGATTCTTGTCTGCATTGCTGTGGTGATTAGCGGTCTGTGCGCCAACCTTCAGAGTTAAAGGTCGGTGAATTAGCAAGTATAGGCTGCATTAACTCCAGTGCTTAAGACCATTTAATGTTAAAACTGTGTTAGAACGATCAGCAGAGCTTTATTTTACTGCAAAGGAGAATTCATTTTACCAAAATATCTAATTCTGCTGTGGAGCCACAAAAGAGCCGCATGCAGCTCCAGAGCCGCATGTTGCTGACCCCCATCCTAGTGGCTTGGGCCACTAGGCACATGCCAATAAAACCCATGAGATGATCCTGATCTGGTGTGGATTTCAAAGCAACAACATAATATACTATTACTGTTACATCTTTCCGAAGTTATGTCTCTCCACTACTACGGTCATTTTAGGAGTGAAATGATGATGCCAAATGCTGATGACAAATGATTTTTTTTCTCTGGAGTCACAGCATCTTGTTTTCAGACCAGGAGTTAAATGATGAAGACCAGCCCAACTCTATACACACACACATGCAAAGTGGATAGCAAACTTTGTTGATACAATTTCAAAATGAGACAATATCCAGCAATGTCATTAGGCTATTCCCAATAGCAGTGCAGTTGTCACCCTATATATTCCAACATATTCCAAGAACATGAGTTTACATATTAATAACCAGCCCAAAACTGGTTTGGGAATTCTCCTAGTTCCCCCAATTACCCACTCTGGCATTGATTCACAGTAAAATAATTATTCCTTTTACTTCCTAACTTGCAAGTGCTATATAATATTAGGCAACATTACATATTGGCTTTCTTTCTTGGATGGTAAAATGCTGATCTGTGAATTTGTCTTTTTACCCCTGCTTTATTGATTCTGTTTCCACATAGGCAACCCCAGCCCTCTGCTCTGGTCATGTGTTAAGTGGCTACGGTGATGTGATGAGCACAGACTTGAGGGCAGACAATGAATGTGTTGGTGCCATCTGCTGGCTTTGTTTCCTGCTTAGTGCAAGCCTGTGGGTGCAGGTGTGTGCAGGGTGCCCAGAGGGTTGTAAATGTGCCTGGGAGAGCCAGACAGTGCTATGTGTTTCTGCAGGCCTGCTGGAAGTCCCTCGGGATCTGCCTTTGGAGACAGTCTCACTCCACCTGGAGCATAATTTTATACGTACCATTCCAGAGGATGCCTTCCAGGATCTGCTGCATCTGCAAGACCTTCACTTATCACACAATAAAATTGACTCACTTGCATCTGGGGCATTGCGTCACCTGAGTACTGAACTCCGACTCCTTGACCTCTCCTACAATCAGTTGAGGTATGCCAGGCGAGAAGAACTTGGTGTCACTCGAGCGAAGACCCGACTCTATCACAACCCTTGGCATTGTGATTGCAGCCTGCAGCAACTAATTGAGAGCCTCAATTTGGAGCCTGAGACAGTGCATGAGATTGTGTGTAAAAGCTCAGCTCGGGGGACCAACGAGGGCAGCCGCTGGGAGGAGGCAGGACCAGTGACTGATCACGTGGGTCAACCTCTAGTCAAATTACTTAACTCTGGAGTGAATTTCTGCAGTCTGCAACGCAGGACTATTGATGTGGCCATGCTGATCATCATGTTTGTGTGGTTCTTCATGGTCATTGGGTACGTGGTGTACTATGTAAGACAGAATCAGGCACAGGACACAAGACACCCCGCATCCTTCCCCAGCACACAAATCTACCACAGAAACCAACATTTTATGAATGGTAACAAATCAGCATGTCCGAAGGATGCATTGTGTGTATCTGATAGCATTTAAGTTAATATCCTGGATATACAGAAGGGTTTGCACAGTCCCAGTTCTGTATGTATTGTTGGGACTTAACTGCAAAAACAATCAGGAATCAAGAGTTGATGCCAAAGCTTTGACCTTGATTCCACAAGGTGACATTCAACCACATGCACAAGGAGGAGGAGTGAGATATTCTGTCCAGACAGTCTGTATGAAAAATATATCCTTCCACAACACACACATGAATAGTCCAGCCAGTGGCATCACAAGTCACCCCTGGGCCCAAATGCAGAGCTTTTAGGCAGAGCCCCCTTAATCTGAGAACCTGGTGGCAGTGGTGACAGAATTGTTTTTTACCTTTATAAATGCTTCAATTTCTACATATTTAGGATTTCCCTGTTAATCCAAGTTTATATTCTCAGGCTGTGATTAATCTTTTCCTCTTTGGCAGCACAGTTGCCTGTTCTGCATAAACATCAAGCTTTTATGTGCATACTGCACAAAGATTAATCACAGCCTCAGAATATAAACTTGGATTAACAGGGAAAGTTCTAATTGCTGTATTTAAGGTATGAATGTGTGAGAAAAAGCCCTAGCTAGGTGGATAATGGATAGCTGTCTGAACAGGTAACTCACAGATGTGTCTTGTGGTACAGATGCAGATACTGCAGTATTTGAGACAACAAGGGCTATAGTTATAGGAGTTGTAGCCTGGTTTTCATGGCCTAATAAGCGTGGATGGGTGGAGCTGCAGGCAATTTTAAGTTCTGGGAATTTATTTGTGAAGCTATTATTATATCTTAACTTCTAACAGACTAGTACTCGTCTGTAAGTACAGAGATAGTTCCTTCCTAAAAGCAGACAAAAGCTAAAATATAGTGACTGAGTAAAAGCACCTAGGACAGGGGTGTCTCAACCACTAAAGGGGCCATATTAAAAAATCTCAACAAATCTGTGGGCCAGAGAATAAATGTTTTTATTTCATTTTTAATTAATGTTCTATAGTGCTATAACCTGAACTGGCCATAGTTTATTCAAAATATGCAAAAACCTGTAGAATTGAGGTGTAACCACTGTCACATACATCATTGTTGGGATAGGAGAGTCAGAGTGCACATTACATTGCAAAGCATGCTGGGAACTGTAGTGCAGTGCGTTGTGAAATGGGCTAATATTAATAGAAAATTACTTAACAAAATATTGTTGCAGGCCAGATAGGATTGTGTGCCCATGGGCCTTGTGTTTGACACATGGGACCTAGGAGATGAAATGGCCTGGTATATAAGCATGCAGTCTGTTTGTGTTGATGCTGTGAATTGTATGTTAAATGTATGTTTGTCCAGAATTATGGATAGATGAAGTGTTAACTAAACTGTACATAAAAAAAATTCAGCAAGGTGAAATGCAGTAATATTTGCCTTACTGGTGTGTGCATCCTTCATACTTTTGTTTTGCACAATAGTCTGACATGTAATAGAGATAAAAAGAGCATAAAGAGATTGTAAAAGTGCATGAGCCCTGTAAGTCTAAACAGCAGAACGAAGTGAAGTGTGGCTCCCTCTACAGGTATACTTGAGGAGAGGAGGCTGCTGCCTTTTTGAAAGCTTTAAGGACTTCGGGGACGTAGAGTTAGTAAGCATCCATAGGGTGTTGGCTGATTATTGAACCACTGATAAGCCTGGGATTGAGACCAGAGATACATGCGTTAAAGCTGACCAGAGTAATAATTGAAAAATAAGCTATGGAATCATTGATATGGATTTTGGGGGTTGTATAGGGTGAACAATCAGTTTTGATGTGGTTGTGATATTAAGGTCAAGTTAAAAAAAAGCACAATAAGGGGTTGGACTAATAAACAAAAATTATGGCAAGTAATATGTATAATTTTTACCCCTGATCTGGAAACTTGATACTAACTAACTATCAGAGGCTTTTAGAATACCCAAATGTCACCCTTTCTGTGTGTAAAACCAAAAATCCAGCTGATTTGTTGTCCCTTTCTGATGATGGGAAAAAAGCATGATTGTGTGATACAATCAGAAAAATATAGCAAGCTCAGATCAGACTTACGAGCTACCGCATTACCTAAGGCATACTGAATGCTCCTTGTAGATGGAGCTTGTTACAAAGATGGTAAAACACTAAAATCAGGATACTAAGTTGTTCAATTAAATCCTGATAGAGCAATATTCACAGTTGTGCTCAGCTTAGTTAGAAGAATTGAAAGCAGTAACTGAAGCCTGTTTGAAGGCAGAAAATCTTTCTGTAACAATTTATAGTGATTCAGCATATGCCCTGGGACTCTAGGACTAGGTCACCTCTTTGGGGGCACATAGAAAGAAAGAGCGTTCAATAAATGATGGTTCACCTATACATCACCATATGCAAATTATTGAGCTTCTAAATGCAATGATGAAACCTAAATAAATTGCTATCATTAAACGTGCAGCGCACACAAAACGCCTCAACATGGAGCATCATGGTTCTGCATGAAATTGATATAGAAGATAAAATAAGCTATGAAGATTTAAAAGTAATACAAAATGAAGCTAGTCAAGCAGAACAAAATCTTTGGGAAAAGAGAAGGGCTTCCAAGTACAATTATGGTCTATGGAGAAGTTATGAGGGTTTACTGATGGCTCCTGTTTCATTACTTTCTTTGTTTTAGATGCCCATGGGCAAGCCCATGTGGCAAGGGGGGAGGTAATAAGAACCATAACACATACATGGAATTTTTGGGCTCCAAATTTGCAAAATCATATAGACTCATTAATACATAGATGTGAAATTTGCCTCAAGTCGTGGCTACAGACACAGCACCCACAGGCACTTATACTGATCTCTGGAGACTTAAACCATGTTTCTCCATCCACGAACTTCACAGAGTATGTAACCTGTCACACCAGAGGCAACAAAATACTGGATCTGTTTTATGCCAACACCAAGAAGGCATATAACTCATCACCCCTTCTCTTGGAAGATCAGATCATAACCTGGTTCATTTTCTGCCTAGGGACAAACCACTTGTACGTAGGGAGCCAGCTGTCACCCGCACAGTGAAGAAATGGTCTGGGGAGACTGAAGAGATTTTGAAAGACTGTTTTGGAACAACTGTGCGGGAAGAACTATGTGATCCTTATGGGGAGGACATTGTCTCACACACTGCAATAAACTTTTGTGTGGAAAACAGTGCACCTACCAAGACTGTTTAGTGTTTCTCCAACAACAAACCATGGATTAACCCTGATATAAAGGTTCTCCTGAAGGAGGAAAAGAGGGCCTTTAGATCAGGTGACAAGAAGGAACTGAGAGCTGTGCAGAGGATGGAGGAACAGCTGCAGAATAACAACATCTAAAAGCCTTAAAACAATCTCCGGTCACAAGAAACTCGACCCCCAGGCTGTAGAAGACCAAAAGTGGGTGAACGATCTCAATCTGTTTTTCAATAGATTTGATCACTCACCTCCCCCTGCACAGTTACCCCTGCTGCAACCCCCCTCTTCTGGACTCTCACTCTCTTAATCACCTCCCTCCACCAGTGAACTTCCAGGGAAGGGACATTGAGAGAGTGGACTCTTATAAGTACCTGGGATTTCACCACAACAATAGACTGGACTGGTCAGATAACACTAGTGCACTTTATAGGAATGGCCAGAGCAGACTCTACCTGCTTAGGAGACTGCGGTTGTTTGGAGTGCAGGGGGTGCTCCTGAAGAACTTCTTCGACACCGTTGTGGCATCAGCCATCTTTTATGTAGTGGTCTGCTGGGGTAGCAGCATCTCAACTGTGGACAGGAAGAGACTTGACAGACTCATTAAGAGGGCCAGCTCTGTCCTGGGAAGCCCCCTAGATCCAGTGCACGTGGAGGGAGACAGGAGGATGTTAGCCAGACTAGCATCCATGCTGGAGAACAGCTCCCACCCCATGCATGAGACTCTGGCAGCACTGGGCAGTTCCTTCAGTGTCAGGTTGCTTCACCCCAAGTGTATGAAGCAGCGCTATCGCAGGCCCTTCCTTCCTGCTGCTGTTAGACTGTACAACTAGCACTGCTCCCAGTAGAACCCTCCCCCATCCCCCATTAGACCTCACATACCTACAGCACATAAACTGTGGAATTCATCACCATTTCCTGTCTGCAATATAACTCAATGTGCAATATTTTTAAAACATATATATATAGTGTAAAGATTGAACTACTACTTTATGAAAATATTTCATAAAGAGATGGGGAAACATAGCCTGCAGAGTACGGAAACCCACTTAATGCAGAGGTCTTCAGGAAGACTGGTGCTCTGCCCAGAAAATAAACATTCACAGATTACATTCAACAGAGCACCTGACTTCCTCTACACATGCTGTCATGAGTCGCAGTGGATAAATACACCATGTAACCCCCCTTTGAGTCTTACTTAGGCCTGAACACTAATGATTGAGTGTTAAATGTACCCCCTTCCTATATGAACTCCATAAACGTTCAGTATCCATTTATTATTTGGGTAAAGCAGTAAAGAAAACTTCTCTGTTTTATTTAAATTAAAGTACTTTGCTACCACATTGTATCTATTTAGATACCACAGAAAAAATAAAACCTGACTGAATACTTGTCCATTAGGCATTAGACATAGGAATTTAAGCTTTTTGTTTCCAACTTATCAATAAAATAAGAGTTTACACAATACTTGCAGAATTAAAATCCAACAAGCACAATGATTATGTAAATAAAAATGAACTGAAAATAACAAACTAACTAAAATAACAAAGGCCAAGGAGGCCCTGAGGGATCCCCACTGCATGTCTATAAGCTAATTAGACTGAGTCTGTACAGCTCCTTCTGTAACTGGGTATTGGACTTTGATAGTGAGGATCAGCAATAGAAATTCAGCCACGCTGACTATAAGCACGGGAATTCCGTGTACTGTCTCAGCCACCCCTCATGCACTTTAAATTGTATGTTGTGTTGAAGTATTAGGTATTTTTACTCTGTATTCTGAATACATGACAATAAACCTTACTTAAACTAAGTGACTTTGTCATAAAAGTATTTGCAGAGAGAAAAATATGTAAAATAATATAAACTAACAAGAAAACAAACGTGAGTTAATCTCACTAACAGATTTTGATCTGTTAAAACATTCAAAATGAGTGAGATGAATAAACACAGTTGTTATACTGGACACAATTCTCATGATTAACTTAATATGTAACTAAATTTATTTGCAGTTTTGTTCGCTAATTATAAGGTGTCATGAGTGACTCCACAGATTTGTGGCAAGTAAAATAAAATATTACATGACATTAGTGGCAAATATTAGGGGAAATGATTCTTATAATATTAGGCAATTATATGAAAGCAAAAATAAAATAACATAAAAAGTACTGTCAATAGAAATGTTTCTATTTTTATTGCTAATGTGAAAGATCAGGGAAAAGATTAAAAAACCAGAGGTAAAAGATGACAATTGTTTCACACAACATACAACTACCTGAAACTATTCTATTATGACTC